CCTCAGCAAGAGCCGGTAAATGTTACACACGCACACGGATACACAAAGTGCCGTTATATTAATTAAAAGCTCATTTGTAGTAGCCACACACGCCCTCATACAACAAACAAACACACACACACACACATAACATAAAGCGGCGTCAGACCCAAACAAACCGAATCCGCAATTGAGATTGAGAGTGACAGTGCGAATGACAGTGCGAGTGAGAGTGCGAGTGGGGAAGAGCTAAAGAGAGATGCATAGCGGAATCTGCTCTCAGCTAACACTCTCACTCTTACTCTCACAGTTCGAATTGCTCTTTCAGACGCATTGAAATCAAAGTCAAAAATATTTATTGTAAAATATTACAAAAGCAAACTCAAGCACATACATACATACACAGCTATATGGAAGTGTGAAACGAGCTGGAATTGCGGTACACACAAACAGGGAAATGAGAAATAAACAAAATTAAAGAAGGTAACCGTTAAATGGCTTAATAAATGCACAAAGAAAATGTACAATATGCTGGGGGAACCTGGTGAATGCGGAAAAATCCAATGGCATGCAAATGGATTTCTTTTATTGCTGTTGTAGACGCTGTAGGCAAATGTAGTTGTTGTTGTCGTTGYTGTAGTTGTTGTTGTTGTGTTGTTTCAAAGTCACTTTGCCATGCGATTTGTTGTTTTATCAATAATTTATTTAAATGCCGGGGCTTGCCCTTAATCTAATTTAACTCACAGAAATTTCTTGATGAACTTATAGAATGACACCAGCAAATACACAAGGGTTGAAATGAGCTTCATATTGTTTGTTTTTGTTTTTAGTTGAATTCGTTTTCAAATTTGATTTTCTTCCTTTGTCAAATAACAAATTGCACAAGCAGCTGAGGTGACTTAATACTAAACATTTGGTTTAACTTTACATAACACGAATGTTAATGACGCTTTGTAATAATTGTTAGTTTTGCTTTAAATAATTATCTTGTCTTGAACTTATTTGCTTTTTTTTTTTAATTTTTTAATTTTATAATTTTTTTAATTCTATGCCTTTGAACTTTATGCAGCTAGATGAAATTTCACTCTCAATGTCATTTCCGCGTTGAACACGTTTTTCACACTAAGCTGGCATAAAAAGAGGAGACTACGCTTTCTGTGGTGCTCGTGTGTGTGTATATGTGTGGTTCCATGGTTACGGACAAAGCGAAACTCATATGTGTGTGTGTGTGTAGAGAGAGAAAGAAAGAGATACATAGTGAGAAACTGTGCAAGGGGCAGAGCGCGTACAAAATCCAAATGCTGGAGCTTCAGCAAGGAAAACCCAGCCAATGCTTTCGGCAAAAGTTGACACACTCGACTAAGCTATATGAACCTGCGAATGCTCTGCAAAGAAATAATATTCTTGGTGACATATTTTAATATTTAAATAAATTATTATT